GGCCAACTTGGCCAACTCATTAAGAAGCGCAAAATGAATAAAGAAGATGCGCATCGTCTCAAGTATCATGTTATATAAATAACTAAGTGGCTCATTAAACCATACAGCAAAGAAGCTCCTTTGAACTTTGCTCGAATGTCTAGTGTTCTCCAAATAAAACCTGTCTGAAGATCCTGGATTACATTTAGAACGCCTCCTGCCGCCCTGGCGAATCTACGAGAGCGGGCGGCGCCTGGACAGACACTGGGGTGGGGGAGCTTCAAACGAGCCAGTATGACGTCAGCAGAGACGCACACCCATCGCCGGACCGCAATTAGAGGTCACAGAGACGCGCGCACTGATTGGTTCTGGGCGGCACCGGACGGACACGAGCACCATTTAGCACTCTCGAACCTTCTCGAAGTCGACAGGAGTGACATGGAGACGCCAGGTGGCGGCCGGTGGGTTACTGAACGGTGAACACTGAACAGGGTTATGTTCCCGACTCATATTGAGAGCGACATAACACCCGATACGTCTAGTAAGGCAATGCTCGAAATAACCGGAAGACGGCGAAATATACGGTTTGTCAGTCATGCTAAAATTATTTTCAAGAGCTCCCTGAAGCGCATTGGACCCAACATCTGCGCGTCGCCAAGGCATTGCCGGAAAATATCCATACCTGGAATAGGATTCTGGCCTGAGTCAGAATTCAATCAAAGACGCCTGCCTATTACGTCAGCGAAGTGCGCTGGATATTCGATAGCAGCTCCAGTCGGCGGACGTTGATCAGATATGCATGTTACAGTGCCGCGCCCCGGTCCGAGTCATGTTCATGTGACAGCGAACCTTGTTCACTGCGCGACAGGTACGGTTCTCCAGTAAAAGTCTTGTTGGTTTTGCTTTTTCGGACATATCTGGTCCTATATGATGTTCAAATGCATAACTATCAACCCAAATTATGTGTATGCACATTTACCACGAGACTGTGAAATTGCATCGTTGTATGCCAAATACTTTCCGAGATATTCACCAAAAACCTCATTTTCTGCCGTTTGGGGTATTCTGGCCGCAATCTTCCTGGGATCGCCTATGACATCAGTAGAGCCATCTAACGAGAGGAACGCGGAAACACAGAATCATGAATGAATCGAGTGCGTAGTAAACGGTGTATGAAAGGGAGACTCGGCAGAGGCTATCCGGGTGGCCGGCGCGCGGCGCGCCCTTAGGCATCGGCCGACCCTTCAGACCGCGTGGGGTCAGAGGTCGCGCTCGGGAAGTCTCAGCTCTGGGTTTTAGCCCTGTGCAGTCAGGAAGGGAGCATAGGATAGCGCTAGCCCGACGGACTAGTATCTCGGCTGATTCGTGTGGGGTGGAAGGGAGCACAGAACGGGATGGTGGCTAGTGATGGATGATGGGATGGTGGTTAGGTTAGTGCGTACTGCGTAGAACGTAGCTGAACATGCATTGTTTTTCATGGCAAACAACATGCAGCATAATGTGCGGGATTATGCCAGAACTCATACAAAAAGGAAATAATATTTCGGCCGAAGGAGTGGATGAGTGCCGTGACAAAGCATGACGATGCTGCCAAAATCGGGATGCTTTTTTGCCCCCATTTTTTTACCCCTAACATGCAGCGCTTGATCCGAACTTAGAGGTCCCCGACTGACCTTAGACCTTAAAATCGCACCCGTCCGGTGCGCCACCTTTTCTTCAGGGGCGCTCTTCTTGGTTGTAGGTATCTGTTCTTACCAATAACTAAAGCAAATCGAATGTATAATAAAAAAGGCATACCTCAAACACAGTTTTATTCACATCCCCTCGTGTGCATATTTGTTTTGACCTATTCCTTCTTGCATCATAATATATCACTTCAGTGCTTAACCCTCAACGGGATTTTGGGTTTTCTGCATATACCCCGGCCGAGGGGGGGGGGGGGCGATTACGACCCCTCTCCGTCTTTTTGCCCCTAATTGAGCTAGCGCCTTGCAGATAAAACTGAGCGCGTGCGTCGTATGAGATGCAGCAACTGGTACCCGAGTTGAATGTCTCAGGTCAACCGATAAACTCTGAGGTCAGTATAAGTGCTGGCCAAGTCGCGGGATCGGTTTTTGGTAAACAACTTTACCATAAGTGGTTACAGAGCCAAAACAATGGCACCATCGAGTTTTGCATGCTCGAGCGCGTCGAACAGTACTATACGTTTTGTTTTTGTTGAGGTCAATTTAAGGTGTTCACCTCAGGTCATGTCAGGGCAGAGCCACTCAGGCCACGAGGCTGGCTCAAGGAGGTCATATCGCTTCTTCGATTCGGTAGGTCCTCGCAAGTCCACTGATGGCTTCACGACTCGCTAGCTCAATTTGATCGGGACTTTTTGGTGAAAACTCCTGTGACCTTAGTGACGTCATAAATGAAGTCGCCTAACTTTGAGAATGGAAAAGTGAATGCTGGGGCTTCCAAAGATTGTGTAAAATCGCGAATTAATGCGCTTGAGACAGCTTTAGATGGCTCGCGGCGACAAAATAACAGCTTTCATATTTCCCAATTGATTAATGATCGTGAGGTTGCGTGACCGACCTGACTTCAGGTGACTCTTAAGAAAAATACGAGATAGCTACATACAAGTTGTGAGGCCTCTGGGAGATAGTACTAGATCATACATCCTAAGCTTCATTCCCCGTTGAAAAGTCCCCTGGCACGAAGGGTGCTGCGACGTCGCGACATTTTGGGACCTTACAGAGGTTCACTTTTGACGTCATTGGTCAACGGCCTGACCTTAAACCTTCGCACTTGTAGGAGGGTGTCGAACAGACCTCCTACCTCAGTTTTTCGCAAATAACTCGCGTAAAAAGCGGCTGATTGCGACGAAACTTTCAGTACCCTCGACTTAATCAATATTACGCCTACCCTATAATTTGTATGACCCTGGCTCAAAAGACCTTTGACTTGTGACCTGTTTTCCGAGACCATGTTTGGCCGGAATCGCGTTTTGGCGTATTTCGAGTAGAGCGCGTTTTATTGTCTTTTTGTGGCTATAAGCGATCAAACATGTGAAAGGATGTTGATCCCATGGATTCTAGTGGGTATCAAGGTCACGTGAAGGTCAGTCAGGTCACTGACCTTTGATGACCTTTGTTCACTCTTTCGAGTTCTACATGTTTCTTGGGTAGATTTTGGAGTTGATTTCGCATTTAGAAACCGTTTGAACATTTAAGAAGTAGTTTTGGTTCCCTCGTAACATGTGACCTCACCTGACCTGACCTGGCCTAAATGCACGAAAACATCATCTGTGATCAAAACTAACTTGAAATTCGTGATCAGCACCCCGCAAAACCCTATAACAGCTTCACTTTACGAAGCTCTAACAGGTCCCGATTCCCCGACTTTTGAGTTTGACCTGTCAACTTTGACAACTTTGTCAACTTAGACTTTTGACCTGTCAACCAATGACCTAAGACCTTAAAATTGGGTATCATCGGCCTCCTCTCGTCACGGGCAACACGCTCTTTTTCCGCGAAGCTCTAGCTCGATCAGGGGTTGAACGGCAAAGGGGTCCAACGGACCCTCCTCCCCCCTTTACGATAGACGCTGGCAAAACACCAATATGGGCGAGGATGAAAATACAGCTGCTGTCATAAAAATTCAGTTGAATCAAAGGTCAGGCTTGCCAAATTTCAGCTCTCGCAGCTATCAATAAAAATAAACATGTGGAGGCGGCACCCGCCACCCCGCACCCGCCTCCCCCCTCTCGGCCACTGCCAGCGAGGTTTTAAGCGTATCATACACGTTACAAAGCATCATATCAAGTTGACACACCCCAGCAGCCATATGCACTGAACAAAAACTTATTACGCACGCTAGTCATCGGCACCATAGCACATGGTATGGTCGAGACTGTCGTCAGCCACGGACGCGCACTCGACCAACCCTCTGAGCCCGTTGACTGCGGGTGACCTTGACATGTAAAGCCTGATCGGCCGCCGGCCGCTGTCGTGCGATCGTTACACGCGGAGGGGAGGGAGACACAAAGCCCTACGTTATAGCTGACCTCTGACCTCTCCCTGCGCCCTGGTCACTGACCCCGCTCCATGTCGCTGGGCGGTGGCATGGCGGTGGAAACCGGTTCTAGCCTCTACACATGCCACCATTCTAATTTCTAATCCTCCCCTCCCCACGCTACTACGCGGCGTGGAGTACGCTCGTGCGTAACTGGGCGGAGCAAGGGGTCACGCTATACAGGGGCGGAACTGGTTGCCCTCCCGCCCGCCGAGCGACCAACGACTAATACCCTGGAGAACCGTACATCGACAATGGACTGCACGCCGCTCCTCAGATTACATTTCACCGAGAGCAAGATCAATTTTTTAAAGGACACGCTGAATACATACGGGATTGCGGGACAATGCCCCCGTCCGGACAATGAAGACGCAGCAAATGAACTGAGCGACTGCGACGCAGTTATGCAATGGAATGGACGATGCAAAACTTTCGGCAGTCGGCATAATTTCTAGAGGGAAACGAAAATCAGCCGTCGACCAACGCGAGCGGTGGGTTCCGACAACATCTAAATGCATGAGATGCTCAAGACCAGGCTGATGATAAATGGTGCCATAACGATCCCTCAAATTGAATCACGGCCTTCATGGAAAACAGTAATTCTAATTGAATCATCCACATCTTGCACGAAAGCTGATGGTTAAAATCACCTATGCATGAAAAACATCTTGTGATAAAATCAGACATCTCTATGCTATACATGCAACCCTCCTCCCCGCCAGTATCGCTACCACCGCATTCCCCTCCCCCCGGCTGGCGCGGTCTGAGGACTGACATGCCCGTGTCCCTCCATGCCCGCTCCACTTCTCCGTGGAGGACGCGAGCTTGAGACTGACATCTCCGACTTGTCTGTTCCTTCCCTGCCCGCTCCCCCTCCCGCGGCGGGCGATGGCTGGGGACTACAACGCCTGTCTGCCCCCCCCCCCCCGCCCCCTCCCCTGCGGCAGGCCCGAACGACTGACCTGGCCGGTTTCGGCGCCGGCTGGACGGCCGAGGTGTCCAGGTCAGAGTCCACCTCCACCACATGATCGGGCTCCTTGACGGCGTCGTTGTCGAACAGCTCCTCATCGCCGCTGGAGGCATCCTCCTCGTCACTGTTGAAGTTGTACTTGACCTTCGCCGCTGTGGAGGAAACGGGCGTGTGAGATGACGCAACAGGACAGCGGAAGTGCCAATATGGACGACGGTGGTGGCTATTTACAGCATTGCCGTTAGTTACACCTTAAAAATAGCCGTGATCCCATGTACATAATTCGAGAGCGGCACAATCATCGATCGTATTGCCAAACATTAAACGCAGATATAAGGAATCTGTCTTTCAGGTTAAGATTGTAACTAAATGCAGAAGCGCATGTGAAATATCAAATTCGTAAAAAGTACATGAAATCGTTGCTTTTGGAACTGATTGCTGACTAAGGACTTGACAAGGCTCAAGTATGTGTTCCAAGCATCAATCAAGCAGAAATGTCTGAACTGATAATTGTACTGATGCTTGTATTGGTTGACCAGCCGACAGACTTGAAGGTCATCTGGGACAATAAATCGGTCACAGTGCGGTCGCTAGCATTATCCGACATAATGTAGGCCAGGTATCTGGCCAGGGTGAGACCGAACAGGGACCGCGTCCAGGCGTCATATGAGGTGCCCGCCGGTCACTCAAAATCAGAGTCAATAATACAGCTCTCCGCTGCCCCCGTACGCAGAAGCTTATTGCGGCGTGTGTGCGGTGTGTGGGGCCGGGGGTCTGTGTGTGTGTGTGCGCGGCACAACACTAATATTTGCCTCGGGGCCGCCGTCAAGACCTCAGTATACGGCGGAAGCGCGCACCCGCACCGCATAAACCAAACCAAACAGATAGTGCCAGCTTAGCCCGCTAGGCAAAAACGCAATGAACGCAGCGCGCTAAACAGTACGCTGGGGAGGGGGGGGGGGAAGGAGTTCCGCTGGCAGTGCCGGTGGCGTGAATGACGAGATGGGAGAACTTACAGATGGAGACTGAGTTTAGCCGTGATCCTACATACTCCAGAGTAGCATAATTGCTGATGATATTGACAGAAAAGTTCCGTTACAGTCCGCTCGTGCCGGCAGCTGCGTCTTAGTACAGCCTTTGTGAGCAAGCCCTGTTGGACATGGCCAGAAGTTTCCGCTCAACATGAAGCAAGTCCTGTTGAACATGACCAGAAGTTTCCGCTCAAATTAGCTAATTAACTGACAGCCTGACGAACAGAACCCCACACGGACAAATGCCGAGCCGAAAGCGGCCGTCTCAGCTATCCCAGGGTGCGTCACCTTCCTGAAACCGATCACCGCTCCCTCAACTGTCGCAGAAAACGGTTGCGTTGGTCGCCTTTCTTATCCATACCGAGACCGGCAGGAGACGCACCTGAGAGCGTCGAGCCAGCGGCCAACACTGCCTTTACTTACCAGTTCGGTGACGTCATTGGAGGCATAATGTTGCGCTTCGCTAATAAAGTCGGCGGCAGCGAGGACCAAAAGGGGGCGGCTCGTCTTACCGGTCGGACCAAAACAAACCACTAACTGGACGGCAGTGACGCAGGCCGCGGTAGGGTAACGCTGCCAATAGTCGGACGACAATAACGCAGGAGGCGGAGGCAGGCCAACTCTGCTACAACGCACAGCGGTGACGCACGCGGGGTGGGGTCACTCGGCCCGCTGGTGGTCAGCAGTAATGCATACGGCGTGAGTTAATGAATGAATAAGCGCGTTCGTCTCATGTAGAGCCCCTGCTGACACCGTCTTCGGCTTCTGTTGTCCCTCCCACACAACCATCACTCCTCGCTCCACAGACCATCTATAATTCCGTCGATTCTTTCTCAAACTACCAAACCTGATCGGAACTACAAATCATCCCCTGTCACCTCCATCAACGATTTCATATGGGTCTCCCACCAACCGCCGGACCCGCCCAAAGAACCCACAAATCACGTATTGTCAGCCCTGCTGACAGCCTCTATCACACGCCGCGCCGGCGCCACTGACATCTAACTCTCCTTTCTACGACTTTTCCTTTAGACGTTCCCAACTCACCGGCGGCACGACGGCCTCCCTCGCGAACGCGGGTGGGCGAGGAGACCTCCGGTTCGGAGTCGCTGCCCCGGAAATCCTCCTCTTCAGAGTCCGTCTCCCACGCCTCTTTGCCCGGTTTCTTTTTGAACTGCAGCTTGGTCTGCTTCATGCCGTCCTTGCCTGCGGCGGGCGAGAGCGGCAGGTAAGGACGCGCAGTGTACGTGCGACCGTGCCGTGTTCGCGGCACGTTTACTCAGGGAGATTAAGCGGGGAAGAACGGCAACAATGTAAACATTTGCGTTGGCACAAGTCCCAGCTGGGTAACTAATCACTCTTGTAGAGACGGCCTGAAGACAGAAAATCCCGCTAAGTTGTTATTGTCGGTGGGTACAGAGACTGAAAAAACAACACCATATTCAACAATACCGTATCGGTTGTAACGGTGCAATCCCCTAGAAAATGTTTACATCTGTATCTAAAACAATAAGTGACATCTCATTGAAGTCAAATGTGCAATGCGGGTAAAATGCCGTACAAGTATTTCGCATAAGCGCAGGACAGTACCTTTCGGCTCCCTCTTCTTCTTTGGCTTATCTTCACCGTCTCCCTCCTTCTTCTGCCTCTTTGGCTTGTCATCTCCGTCTTCCGCCGTTCCGTCATCGGATTTCTGCAATCACAAGAAAGAAACGAAAAAATGCAATATAATCAAATTATAATAAAAGTATCTAACTACTTGTCAGTTAGAGTAACAAACGTATCCAGCATGTTTGGTTCAAGCATAAAAGCGCACTTTCAATGTCTATTGTTGACTTTGGGTGCAGGTTAGTCGATATTCAGGCAGGTTTGGTTACTTGATCAAGCGATCGTATCACAGATCTTCAGTAGACATAAGCTGATTTGATAATGATTTGGTAGGTGCTTCCCGCTTTTGAAACGCAAAAGACTTCAAAAGGCGTTAAAAATGTGATGGCGTCGTTAGTGGCCGCATTGCCCCAAAAATAGGACATGTGTCGGAGAGTACGGTCAGAATCAAAGGTACAGCAGCCAGGATCTGAACACATCTACTGCGTCTGACGTTGTATCACGAAAAACTGAGGTGAATGCACTGTTCTACCCACCGTCAGTAGTGGAAGTTCAAAGATTACTGGTGCGACAGCTATGGGCCAGATTAATAACTGCAAGATGACAAGTCAATACATCGCCCGCTATTTTAACCTCATCCAAAGTTGGCCGCTGATAGGACCACAGACAAATGGCGACTGACCCGCCGACGAGCCATCTCCCGTCGGACGTGACGGCGATTTCTTATATCGCCATCTGGGTTACTCGATAATTGGGAAGGCCGGCCGGCGCGGTGCGGGGGTCCAGCCGACGAGGTTCGGAAGCGGCAACTCCAATCTATCCCGACCCGAACCCCATCGGTCACATAGGGCGGGGACCGAAAATCCCGGCCGTATTTTAGGCAGCCAACGGCTTCGCAGAACCGAGACTAGATTCACCCGAGGACGGGCAGGCGACCCCAGCATCATCCACAATTTTACGATCGGGTCAAGGGAAAGAAAAACGACGAGTAACGAGGCAATTGTGAGCTGACGCCGTCAAAAAACATCGTTAGTTGGGTGCGTCCAGCCCAAATGGCACCAACAGCGTCCTGCAGCGGAGCAGACAACACGCAGAGCTAATGGCTGCAGCGAACACCTGACAAATTACTCAAAGACAAATTACTACGTAAACGAGAACTCTAGATCCCGCGTGTCATACTGTAACTGTCTGATTTGGCGTATTAGCCCCAGTGTTACGCTGACTTTGCTGAGCAAGCGAAGCCAGGGACCGTAAAGAAATAATACCACACAAGTTCGGTATCAATCGTTTGGTGAATTGGAATGGTTTGTTTATTTGGTGACTCTCAGCTAATTGGATGATCAAAGCTTGGAACGCATCGCAACTGAGTTGTTGCATACATGGATGCAACAACTCAGTTGCCATCATAATTCGCAACGTGCAAATCATTCCGCGAGCATACAAATCCTCTATGCTTGCCGATTTGTCTCGTAAGCTCATATGACACCCTCTATTCTATTACCTCTAAAACATAGCCCTCCGGACGTGACCGCGTACGAGTAATTGGGTTGCCTGTTGAGCAGGCGGTCATGATAGTGCCCCAGCCCGGCCATCACCAGCGCCATTCAGGAGGCACATGGCCGAATCATCCACTGAGCTATGACAGCTAACGTAAAAAGCAGCGTGGATGTCGTCGACAAAAGGCACGGTTCAAGCTGTGCTACAAAGCTGACAGCTGCGGGGTCGAAGACCACGGCATTACACGTGACTCCATCGGTGGACGGAGACTGAAATTGTCGCAGGTAATACTTTGGCGGCATTAAAGTGTTTCTGTCCGTTTCAGTTTTAAGTTTCCGCTATCTGACCTGCCACGACTGCAACCGTAACCGACCCTGCCCGAACTGAAAGCCAGTGGTCGGCGATGTGGCGGCGGAACCATCCAGAGCGGAGTGGCGGACCCCGGATTTACACCCACCCAGACTTGTGCCAAGGTCCCAAAAAGATCCGAGATCCAGGGTTCGCAGAGTCCAATGTCTGGGACCTTGAAGGATCCTGGACCTTGCATTGTCATTTTTGTCGCGAGACCTTGGAAACCCAGGACCTTAAAACATCCATATGCCGCGAGACCTTGGAATCCCAGGACCTCAACATTTGCATATGTCGCGAGACCTTGGAATCCCAGGACCTCAACATTTGCATATGCCGCGAGACCTTGGAATCCCAGGACCTCAACATTTGCATATGCCGCGAGACCCTGGAATCCTAGGACATCAACATTTCATGTGTCATGAGACCGTAGAAACCCAGGACCTCAACATTTCATATGCCGTGAAACAATGGAAACCCAGGGGTCAGGACCTCAAAATTTTGGTATGCTGCAAGACCCTGCAGAATGCAGACCTTTAGTCCCAGTTTTATTATTTGTCATGGGATCTTAGGAGAACGGTCTGGATCTACACCATCATTTTGCTGAGGGACCAAGTTTAGTTTAGTTTAGTTTATTTGTAGATCATCAACAGGGTATGCCCCCAATCACAGATGAAGTCAGTTGAAACACAACATGCACTTACAAAATACAGTCCAGCGAATACCGCTTAAATGACTGTTACGTTAAGAAAAAAGTGTGCAACTGTAAAGATAAAAACAGAGATAAAAACACAATAGGTATCAAAACATCTTAGCAGTAAAGGTAAAGCATCTACACACTACGAGTGTTGACATAAGCCAGAACAGAGCTCTTGAATTGGCCAGCGCTTAGAGTTCCAAACATCTACATCACGACACGCATCTAAAAACTCGTTGCATAATAGCGGCAGTCTACAAAACATTCCTGATTTAACTGTGCTGACTCGACCATATCCTGGAATCTCGACCTCAAGAATCCTGGAAGCTGGACCATGAGGTTTATGTTGCACATGGGCCACCAAGGACCCTGCAGTTGCACTAGGTTTTGTCTGTAAGCACTTCAATAAATATCTATGGTTGAGTGACCAGCTGCAAGGGGCTAAGATAGATACATGAAGAGAAAACGAACCAGACTGTGTAGCCATATATACATAGAGCCAAATCGTTGTCATGGCTGTGAGGCAGAACTGGAACAAGAGACCTGGTAGCTTTTTACATTATCAATGTTATGGATTATGAAACTGTCAAACAGTTGACAGTGGTGGTTTGGAAAGTTCTTTTCTAATCTCACCTCACATATTTTCTGGGTTGTGATATGCCGGGCTTGAAGCTATTTGGAAGCTACCCACTGACCTAGTAAGTGTCAAACTTATTTGTTTTGCAATTCATCAAATCACCATTGAGCAATGAGCAATATAAGCAATGATTCCATGACAGTTCAACTTTTTCGTTTAGCAGGTTTTCGTCGGACAATTTTTCGTCTGCAGATTTTCGTCCGCAGACTTTCGTGACTTCGTCTATGCATTTTTTCGTCTGTGCATATTTAAAGGGACACTCCCACCTTAACATTAGTTTTGAGTTGAGATAGCCAAATTGGTGGCCATGGCCTGCAAATACCGGTTTGGGCACTCACAACATCGACAAATGCTTTAATTCGGAGATATGGAATTTCAAACTTGCAGTTTTCGGATTCTAAGGGGCTAGTGCATTGGTATGCCCCCTTAGAATTTGTGACGTCAGCGGAGATCTAACGATTTTTAAATCTTTTACTAAAACGTTTGAAAGCACGCGGTGGTATATGCTGCTTTGCGCGCAACAAATGCCGCACTTTCAAATAAAGTCGCTAGGAACAGCGGAGATCCCAAAAAGTAAACAAAAGTAAAAGTCTAATATCTTGAAAACCGGTGAATATTTTTCGATGAAATTTGGTAGATATTCGTTTTCGCTCTTTCTGAACCGAGCGACATCACTTTCGTGCCAATTCATTAACTTTTTTGAAGGTGGGAGGGTCCCTTTAAGTCCGCGCATTTTTACATAAGGACATTTTCCGCCTCGTCCAGACGAAAAAATGCCGGACAGAAAAATACTCAGACGAAAAATGCACCAAATCAATTCGTACAGACGAAAAAATGCAAGACGAAAAAGTCAGACGAAAATCTGCCGACGAATAACCGTCTGACGAAAAAATTGTCACATGGAATTTTGTTCAGAGCCTTCAATCTAATGTGAATGAACAGTAAGTAAGGTTTGCGCTCGCTGATACTCTAATTCTATTGGCTTAGCCGATCAGTTTTCTGTGAGCGCTCGCGCAAACAAGACTTAGAACATATTTGAGTTTTTATCCTAGGTATTATGTAACTGAATGTGCAGAAAATCGAAAGCATATACCTATCCAATTCAACTTTTACGTTTTTATGAAGCCTGTAAGCTTTATTTCTGGTTTTTTGATATTGACTGAAAGAATACTTGAATGTCTGTCTTCAATGACTATAAGGTGCTATCCTACATTCCTACTGATCAGGTAAGATTGAATTGAAAGGTACATGACAATACAAATTGCAAGGCCTACCTATTACCTACCTATATTTTTATGAATTTGTCAGGTTAAAGAAGGAGAGATTGATATTATGATTCATTTTTAACTTGTGTTGAAGCTCCCCTTACCTATGTTGGTTAATGATAAAACCACCACAGTCCACAGGTTTGCATAGGTTCTGCCCCTTTCAATGTTGCTGGGCATCCGTTGGCAGAATATTTAGAAGTAAATCTGCTCATCAGAATGTTAGTTTGTTTAAGTTCTTGTTGTGGGACCCTGAATATTTTGGATCCTGAGATGTATTCTTGCCGTGGGACCTTGAGGACTGTGGACCCTGAACTCTGAAGTGTGTACTTGTCATGGGACCTTGGGGACTGTGGATCCTGAAATTCACACTTGTCGTGGGACCCTAGGGACTGTGGATCCTGCAATGCATTCTTGTCATGGGACCTTGGGGACTGTGGACCCTGCAATGTATACTTGCCATGGGACCTTGGAAACCTTGGATTCTAGAAATTGAATTTGCCGTGGGACCTTGAAAACCTTGGATTCTAGAAATTGGATTTGCCGTGGGACCTTGGAAACCTTGGATTCTAGAAATTGAATTTGCCGTGGGACCTTGGAAACCTTGAATTCTAGAAATTGAATTTGCCATGGGACCTTGG